TTAGGGGTGACTAACAATCCCTCACTAGAAGATCGTAACGAGCAGGCAGGAACATAAGGCAGAAGTAAGTCAGATAAATATGTAGGACCAAGGTTATGGAGAGCTTTATAAGTGAGAGTTTTTAACATATTGTAGTCGTTTGATATTATTAGCTGACAGGCCATAAAGAAGTGAATTACAGTAATCTAGTTGAGATGTGACGAAGGCATGTATAACAGTTTCAGCATCCTGCTGACTGAGAGAGGATCGAATACGCGATATATTTATGCAGGTGGAAAAAAGCTGTCTTTACTACTTTACCAATGTGATCATTGAATGAAAGAGTGGAATCAATGAGAACACCAAGATTGCAAACTTTAGTGGAGGGCATAATCAGATCACCATCTAGATCCATCAGTTGACCAGAGAGCTTAGATACTACAGCTTTAGAGCTAATCAGAATTACCTCAGTTTTATCAGAGTTAAATTTAAGGTAATTTGCCTCCAGCCAAAACTTGAGCTCCTTGATGCAATTAGATAAAGCAGGCGGAGGAAACACTGAGGTGGAAGGTGTGCTAAAATAAATCTGAATGTCATCAGCATAACAGTGGAAGTTAACCCCATACCATTTGATTATTTGTCCAATTGGTAACATAAATAGTGAAAAGAAGAGGGCCCAAGACAGAACCTTGAAGTACACCAGAACTGATGGATTTGGTGGATGATTTGTGCTTCTAGTATTATAACAAATTGTTCCCTGCCTGTCAGATAGGAGGAAAACCAGTCAAAGGCTGTGCCAGAAATTCCAATTGCTGAAAGCCGTGACAGGAGTATCACAAGACAAACAGTGTCAAAAGCTGAGCTGAGGTCTAGCAGAAGGAGAGTGCTAAGAGCACCAGAATCTAGAAGAGCTCCAGAAGCTAGAAGGAGATCATTAAGAACCTTAACCAGGGCTGTTTCAGTACTGTGTAATGGACAAAAGCCAGAGTGAAAGGGCCCATAAAGGTTGTGCTCTGTTAAATAGGCCTGTAACTGGGAGGCAACAACATTTTCTACTATCTTAGAGAGAAAAGAGAGGTTTGAAATAGATCTGTAGCTACTTGGGGATGAAGGATGAAGACCATGCTTTTTAAGAACCAGGGTAACAACAGCAATCTTAAGCTTAGATGGTACAGTTCCAGATTACATTGACGTATTAATGAAATGAGTGATGGGTAGTGAGAAAGCTGTCAAGCAATTCTTCAGTAAAGAGGTAGGTGCAGTGTCAAGAAGACTAGTAGAGGAATTATACAGCCTGATTATCTCATCAACCACTGTGGGGACAAGAGAGTCAAAACTAGAGAGGCTGTGAGTAAGGCATAAAGAGAGAGGTTCAGTAGTGGAAACAGAGGTATGGTGTTGATAGGTATGAGGTGTTTTATTCAGAAAAAAGTTCAGGAAAGCATCACACATTTGATCAAGACTGTACGGGTGTCACGTTCGCTACTGTGAGGGAGTGCAGAGCGAGGAACGAGGAGACCAGGAGTACATCAACAAAGAGACTTTAATTACATTCAGGGAACCAGGAAAACACATGTAGCAGAGGAGGTAAACATATACAATACCAGACAGCGAACTCAAAACAGGAAACACTAAAAATACACATGACTAGATGATGGGATGACGAGAAACACCTGGAACTAATGAAACTTAATAGGAAAAGGAAACAGGAAGAACTAAATATGTGCATAAGGAAACATGAGGGAGAACTTGAGGGAGGAAAACACAACACAACGGGAACACAAGCCTGACATGATTGGACTGCCTGATCCGCCCTGGAGGTATTCCCCGTGTCCCATTCCTGCACCAGCCTCCCCCCTCCCGGAAGGCGCGTCCCGCGCCGTAACAATTTCACCAGGGAGGGGGGAGGCTCCCTGGTGAAATTGTTACGGTAATTTTTTAGGTAAATAAAAAATTACCATTCTGAAAAATCCTGTTGTAAGCGCGTTTGAGGAGGTGGTTGGTTGTCTCCTGTCCTCGCCGATTCGGGGTCTGAGTTCGGCTCAAACATGTAAGGCCGGACAACATTTCCCTCAGCAGTGACCATCATTACCGGTGTTTCTATTGACCTTACTTGTGAGTATCACCAATCCACAGCAGGCTACAGCATACATGACCCTAATTACCTGTGGTTGGCCTGGCCGTGCATCACTCAGAAAACAAAAGGCCAATCAGAAGAGAGACTCATGAATATTAATTAGACAGGCCAAAATCGACCTGTTCTTTGCAGAGCTCCTGAGAGAGGAGCTGTAAAAATATATTGAGATGGATTTTGGTACTTATACTGCAAATATATATTCTTAATAAGGACATCAAGACTTAAAATAAAACTCCAGAAAGTTGTAAAACATGTGACCTTTAATTAACTACATGTACTTACTATATGGTTAGGGTTAGGATTAGGGTTTGGCTTAGGGGTACTTGAATTTAATTATGCATAATTGTTATTATAATAGTAAGTACATGTAACATGTGCAACAAGCACACCTTAAAATAAAGTGTTACCAAAAAACTAACCTACCCCAAATTTTAGTGTACCTCTTCTATAACTCCACTACCATAACCAATCGTTATGTGAGGAGCATTACCTTGGACCTTGAGCTGACAAACTCAAGCGGAGCAGTTTCTATGTCACTGATGAGCTGCCTGTTCTCCATGGCCAGAGATGTGTTCTCCTGTCTGATGGTGTTGAGCTTCCTCCTGAGTACAGACGTCTCTGTCTCCATGTCTCTTTCTGACTACAGATGAACACACACAACAAAAACTTTAAAATCAGTGGGTTTGGGTGTCTATTTTACTAATAACTTAGCTAATAAAAGGTAACAACACTTTATTTATCTGCTATATCTTCCCAGCATCCTACCCTGCAGTCAAAGATGGATATACAGGTGCATCTCAAATTAGAATGTCGTGGAAAAGTTTATTTATTTCAGTAATTCAACTCAAATTGTGTGAACTTTTCCACGACATTCTAATTTATTGAGATGCACCTGTATGTGCACACACCCTCTGCTCAGGGTGTGAATATGCTCCTCTTGGTTGTCCAGGAACAGGATTCTGAAGGTCCTCTAAACTTAAGAAAGACGACCTGGGAATCCATCCAAGGCACTTCTGTTATTATCCTCACTACTGATGTCATCTCCTGATTGACTGAATTGAGTGCCAGTACAACCTTTTTTTTTTATTATGAAATGCTAACAATACGAGAAATTCAATAATACTTACCAGTAGTGTTGTATCACAAAACGTGAATAATAATACCACAGTAAATATTTACAAAAAATATCAAAACAAACAACGACATTTAATATTTTGTGGACCCAAGTGACATTTCTATAACTTAAACAACAGACACAAAACTGCATCTTGAATCATATCTGAAAGAGCCATCATCAAGCAAAACCCACAATACATTTCAGCAATCCTCAACAGACTAAATGCCTCACCTCGACTGTAGGTTTTTCTCGGTTAATCTCAGCTGATTTCTCAAGGAAACAACATCCTCTACAAGCCCCCTGTTTTTTGAACATTGGTGATTGTCATGAAGAGTGCTGTAAATAAATGTTATCTTTGTTTAAACGGACTTGGCTAAAAACCAACACTGAACTCGCACCATAGTTCTTGCTTTAAACACTTTCGAGTTATCATACCTAACGTTACTGTATCCACCTTTTTCTTCAACGCGAAAGTAAGCCTATGGGTGAGACTTCCGGTTCATTAGCCGCTATAGGTAAATAACGAGGAGAATAACAACGTGCAGTAAACAATAAAACTGTTTGCACTACAAACCAGTGTGTTCATAATTTCAGATAATACATTAAAATGATATGATAAGACACACCAACTTTCAATATCAAGCAGCAAAACGAACTGTTTTGCTCAGCTAAAAATAGCTGGACGGAGTGGACGCAGATGAAACCGGAAGCCAGACCCATATATTTTCCAAATGGCCGCGCCCATTTTTACGACAAGAAATGTGATTTGGCTTCATTTCATGCATTCAACAGGTTGTCAAGGAGCAAACTGACCCTCTATCATCATTTTTCAGCGCTCCGCTGCTTTTCGGTGGATTAATTAACAAGATATTTCTATACTATTGAATACCTGCTCATCAGCATGTTCAAAACAGCAGTTATGCAGAAGACCTTATTTCCAGAAGATTTAGCCTAGCATTCACTGCATTGAGATCTAAACAAAACGCGCTGCCGTCGTCGCTTCAGTTGATTGGCTGAGACGAAAAACCGTCCTCAACAGTCGTGACGTAACACTGACGTGCTAGGGCCGCGAATTCAATGGAGGAAAACATGGTTATTTTTCCTTTGATGTGATCTTTTGTGATTAGTTATATACCCGTTTTGTACCCTGTAGTTTTTTTTCTTTTTCTTTTTTTCTTATTATTTCTTTTGTTCTACATTGTGACTGCTTTTATCTTTGTCTATATAATGTTCTTAACAAAAAAAGAAAAAAAAGAAAAGAAAACATGGTTATTACCATATAAATACTATATAGCCAATAAAGTGAAAGAAGTGCATTTTAAAATTTTGCATAATATATACCCTTGTAACGCTGTTGTGTCGAAATGTTGTGATGTAGCTGATATATGCACCTTCTGTAAAAAAAGACAGTGAAGATATTTGTCATTTATTTTTCTCTTGTAATGTTTCATCACTTTTCTGGAAAGATTTGAGTTCCTTTTGTTTTTCTAAAGTTAATATGAACTGTAATTTACACATTAAGGATGTTGTTTGCTTTTTTGAAAACCAAAACAAATCTTTAGAATCTGCTGTTAACTTTCTTATCCTTGTGGCAAAATTCTATTTTAACAAACAAAGGTTTCTTAAGAAAATACCTACTTTTATAGATTTCTTATGTGAAGTAGAACATTTAATTAAATCACTAAGAGTAATTAATAACAAAAAATGTATTACTTTTTTGAAGAGATATGATGAGATCTTTCATGTACCGTGATTAATACTTGTTTTGGTGTTATTTTTTTATTTTTTTAAAACCTCGTTTCTTTATTTGTTCTGTTCCTGCCTTTCTTTATGTTCATAAAAAAGCTGTTTAAATGCATCTTTCTCTTATCAACTTCTTCTCTTCTCTTCCATATGTTCAGATGACATTGGATGTATTGTTGATATATTATGTGTAATGTATGCAAAGTTGTTATTCATTAATGTCAACTCTGAATTGTTTGCAATAAAAAATAAAAAAACAAACAAAAAAAAATGTCAGCGGCTAATATTACAGCGGTAGAGTTTCACTGTTGCTGTTTCCATTATATATTTATTTACATTGTACTGTATGATGGTTAACAACAGCTGTTATTGCTTTGTTTGTTTGTTAGGTTAAAGTTTGTCAATAGATTTGAAGGGAAAAATGTTTGGTTGTTATAAACAATCTCTGTTCGCTTGATACATTCACCGTCAATTATTTATTGCAGCAAATAAATTAGCAGGGCCATAAAATGTTAATTGCATGTTATGAATGCATTTTTCTCTTTTTCTCCAATGTGTTAATATGCATACATTAAATAAATATGCAAATACATTAGATTAGATTATTATTTATTGTCATTGTACTTACATCCAACGAAATTATAGATTTGCCAACGCATCCAGCTAAAGATAATTTAAACTATTAATAAGGAATAATTAAATAAATACCATATTACACAAGGGAAAAAATAAATAATAATTTTACACCGTGCTGAGTGAATAAAGTGCTCAATGCTCAATATAATTACACATGACTGGTTCTTCTTAAATGTCAAGAATGTATTTTCAGTTCAGTGTTCAGTATGGTTATAGCTTTAGGATAAAAACTGTTCATGAATCTTGTGGTATGTGTTTTGATAGACCTGTAACGTTTCCCAAATGGCATCAGTTCAAATAAGTTATGTGCAGGGTGATACGAGTCCTTCAAAATATTGTGTATTTTCTGCAGACAGTGGGAAGTAAAAATATCATCCAGGGCAGTCAGCTGTTATTTTGTGATGATGTTCTGTGCAGTCTTGATAACTCTCTGCAAAGCCTTTTTGTCAGCTGCAGAGCTACTTCCATACCACACCAGCATACCATATGTGAGGATACTCTGGATGGAGCAGCATTAGAATGACAACAAGAGCTGTTGTGACAGGTTAACCTTCCTGAGCATTCTTAAAAAGTATAGCCGCTTCTGAGCCTTCTTAACTAAAGCTGTGATGTTTATCATCCATGTGAGTTCCTCCTCGTTGATATACAATGGTGTATGTACATCCTGTTTCCTCCTGAAATCAATAATAAGTTATTTTGTTTTCTTGGTGTTCAGGGCCAGATTGTTCTCCGTGCACCACACCATCAGCCTCTCTGTAGGCAGACTCATCGCCTCTGGTGATCAACCCCACCACAGTCGTATCGTCCGTGAATTTAGTGTTAGTATTATACGATGGTATACAGTCATGTGCATACAGAGAATAGAGAAACGGGCTTAGCACACATCCCTGTGGGACTCCTGTGCTGATTGTCAAAATTGAGGAATTATGTGAGCCCATTCTCACTGACTGTGAGAATGGGCTCACACAGGCAGATGTTATGCTGAGTGCCTAGATCAGACATCTTGAAGAACAATCAGCTAGGTAAAATAGTATTATATTAGTATTATTATAAGCAGAACTGAAGTCCAAGAACAACAGCCGTGCATATGTTCCTTTGTGTTCTAGATGGCACAGTACAGTGTGGAGGGCAATGGAGATAGCATCATCTGTTGACCTACTGGCCCTGTATGCATACTGGTGAGGGTCCAAGGTGAGTGGCAGAACCTGTCTCTCCAGGCATTTCATGATTACAGGTGTCAGTGCAATAGGTATGTAATCATTGAAAGATTGCAGCCTGTTTTAGCACTGGCACTATTGTGGATGTCTTCAGGCAAGTTGGAACAGTGCACTTCAACAGAGAAAGGTTGAATATATTTGTAAATACCTCACCCAGCTCTGCAGCAGTCTCTGAGGACGCGCCCCGGGATGCCATCCGACCAGCTGCTTTCCGTGTGTTGATTTTACGTAGAGTCCTTATCACCTCAGCAGGCTGAATGACAAATGACTTGTTGTTTGCAGCAGAAGCTTGACTGATAGTAGTCCCAGTTCTTTTCACTTCAAAGCGGCTGAAGAACTGGTTAAGCTGCTCTGCCTCTGAAGCACTGCTGTTGGTCAGGCTACTACTGTTATTCTGTCCAGTGATGTGGCGAATCCCCTGCCATGCCCGGCAGGGGTCCAAGTTGGTGAAATGATTCTCAATTTTCTGCCTGTAGGTCATTTCTGCATCCCTGGTGCCCTTCTTTAGGTTCATCCTGGCTGTGCTGTAATGCTGCATGTCATCAGATCTGAGAGCTGAATTACGGGCCTTCAGCAAAAGTTTTACATTCTTGGTCATCCACGGCTTGCTGTTAGGAAAGATGTGAATCGGTTTCATAATGGTCACATTATATATCTATGCAGCATTTTATATAAAATAGCACAGAAGATGTGTAGATGTCAATGTTATCATCCACAAATACAGCAGGGCCATTGACATTTCTTAAATTATTTCTTGAATTTTTGACCAATTAGTATGGGTCCAAAACCACAAAGCATTCAAAAACGCCAGTTACACAGATACATTTTTAGATCTTTATTCTTTGGCTAAAGGAGTCTGCTCAAAGCCAGGAAAAGCCAAAGCAAGCTTTACTAACACTGGTACACCAACTGAATTATGTTTCATACAAATAACATAAGAGCTTAATATTTATAAGAATTTGTTGTATCAAAATCAGGAGGTATTAATGTTGAAGTCCAAAACTTGCCTGATTCCAATACTACTTCCACCCTCTTCAAGTGGTTAGGTAATATTATTGAGAACAGGGCACTCTCAGGCTCCCCCCCCCAAATTTTTTTTTCCACTAAACATTTCATACAACTTAAGAATTTTAGAAATGTATGAAAATACACAGCCAAGAACTGAAAATCTCATTTGGAAGTCCTATCAAATCTTAGATTGAAGTTGTAAATTATCCTGAGTGCTCATGTGAATTGACAATTTGTTAGTGTACACTGTTTGAATGCAATAAATAGCACTACAAAAAGCCTGAGTCAATTGTAACAAAAATATTGCTGCCATTTTCTGATTGTAACATGAAGCTGAAGCTGCAAAACAAAAACAAAAATACACAGGTCTGTTGAATTAGTTGCATAGTATAACAGAAAGTATAAAAAAAAAAATAAGACTATCCCTCCATCACAAAAATGAAAATTAGACATCTGATTTAAAATTGTATAAATGAGGAAAATAAACTAAAACAGCACTTAGCCTAGAAAAGAAAAGAAAAAATAATTGAAAAAAACCTTTAAAATTCCCATGGCTGATATTAACAGATTTTTTTTTTAAGGGAAGGATATACGAAGACCTCCTAATGCTACAGCGCTCTGTCATATGCTTTTAACAGATATATATATATATAAAAAACAAAAAAAAACCTTGAGACAAAATGATATATATATATATATATTTAAAAAAAAAACTTTGATTAGCCTTCTGGAAATGTGGAATGTCTCCAAAAATACCAAGATCTTATGTAAATATTAATGCTACTCATTTATTTAATTTTATGTTTTGTGGCAGGAGAATACTTAACCATTTTCCATTGTTTTTTAACATC